TCTCTCTCTCTCTCTCTCTCTCTCTCTCTCTCTCTCTCTCTCTCTCTCATTCGCTGTCTTTCTCTCTGTCTAGCGTCTTTTCGTTTGCTTCTAGATGGACCTGATTCTTTCTTCATCCCCGGACCAGGCCGTCGAGGGAGGTCTGCGTCAGATAGGAGACTTCCGACGGTGTGACGCGAATAAAGTCGGGAGAGGACGCGATTACGGGGTTTACGGGGGTGAGACACGCCGCTACCATGATCTCTCGGCCGCCTACGGATGTATAGTAGCTGTTTCGAGGAGCCGCTCGAACGCAAGTAGTAGAACTTTCGAATTGAATTGACAGAGCGGGTTGGGAACCACCCGCCATTCCATCCCAGTGTAGGTGATGCAAGTCGTCGGGCAGACTCATGTTCTGTTTATCACTCTTGTCGCACCTTGTAACAACAGCGTTATCGTTCACTCCTCCCGTGGGCGGAATAATTGGACGGGTCGATTAATTGGACATTCGGACGTTTACCGTACGGTTAAAGCCGCGCTGTGTGGGCGAATAAGGGTCGAGCGAGTGGGCAACGCGGGACACCCACGGTGGCCGCGTACTGTGCGATAGAGCCATAAATACACGCCGTATAAGCTTGAAAGCGCCCGATTTAGAAATCCCGCGGAAATATCTCGTTGATATCTCGCCGAGATAGACGTTGGCGAAATTACTCGATGCAGGCGAAATTACTCGACGCCATTATAAGCGACAAACCGGACATTTCGCTCCCGGTGCCGACGTGGCGAGCGTTAAATCGGGAAATGTTGACACGTGTCTCACTCAATCCGCGGAGAACTGTTCAAGGATTATGTAGGAATGATGCAGGAAATAGGAACGAAATACTCTTCCGTCTCCCGTCTCGTTTAGCAGCGCTAGATGCTCCGTCCGATCTTGAGAGTTTGTTCTCCTTCACATAATGCTTACTACCTCAACAAAACTCGAGACTGGACGGCGGACGTTTAGCCGCGTATCCGATTCTCATCCAGTATTTGCGCTGAATATCCTTTTTCGTGTTAACCAAAGAAAATGTAGAATCCGATGGCTGTTTGTCGGTAAATATCGCGTCGTGGAGCAAAGTGCACCAATTTTAAAGAAGAATCGTCTCGACGACCGCCCCGCGAATGTCTCAGAAATACTTGATACGTTCCAAGACGCACTATTTTGTAGACGGATTTGCAGCTGTTAGGTGCAGACGAATTACCCCGATAGGAAAACATTTATGAAATTGTATCATGAAATTTTGCATATGAAATTTCTATAGCCTGCATTTATGTGGGTATTTAATAAAATACATGTAGAAATACTGGTCTTTTATACAAAATTAACTGTTTCTGCAATTAATTTCGAAATAATATTTCGACAGAACAATTTAGCGAATTATCTTAGCGGTGTATTTGCAAAATTAAATTAATAGAAAGAAACTGTCCAATAATTGAGAAAAATATTTGCATTATGTTTAAAACGTTGAGAAATATAATTATGCATAAAGGAAACAAATAAATGCATATACATATACGCTTATAAAAATGCACAATTATTTCTCAATTATAACGTAAAAATATTTCAACATGAAATATTACACATTCGGTACAGTTAAATTATTATAAAATATTAATATTCCAAATTGAATTTGTCAAATTTTTGACAAATATCATTTAGAAAATTTTTTTCTGGAAACCGCTGTGTCATGGCAAATTATCTTAGCGCAATTTTTACGAAATTTTCATCAATTTGATGTCATTATTGTACAATGATAGACAGAATGGTTGCGACACTTTTTTTAAAAAATAAATTTGGGAACGTGCACTTAAATTCACGGTTACGTTCCAAAATCTTCTTCTCCGAGGAATATTTTACTCGATGATCACTTTGAGCGTTTTCGATCTACTTCTCGAGTAAAATTTTCCCCAGAGAAAATGTTTTGGAATCTAAACGCGCGTTCTGAAACTTATTAAAAAACTGTTACAACCATTCTTATCGATTACTGTTTCTACAATTTCCCTGTCGGGGTAGGCAATTTTTAGGAAACATTTGCGAAATATCTGCGTCGGCGAATTTCCGCGGTAAGGATATGACAAAGCTACCAGATATTCAGATGTCACATTTGCATTCGTACATATGTAATTTTCTTGATGTCACAAACAATTAGTCCTAAGATCTGTGGCGACGACGTAAAATGACTTATAGATATTTGAAGATAAGTAGCATATCATTTAAAACTCCAAACTACGCGCTGAAACGTAATCCCGTTATAATTGTAGCTAGATTAATTAGCTCATGCCAGCAGGTCGATGCTGGGAGCAAACTTTAGATGAGTAATCTCGGTTTGTTACTCAGGAGAATATTGCATTTTCTATTTTTTTTCTCGTGCTCTCGCGCTTCTCGATCTAATTAAAATGTTAATATCGGGCTATGATTCATTTTATCATTACTATTAATAATTATTAATGTTAATATTAGATATTATTATTAACTATTATTATCTATAATGACTATTATTATATAAACAACAATGTATTATAATAATACGGGCTAATGTATTAAAAGACTTTTTAATGTACAACTATGTTAAGCGGGGCCCATCTGGTAGCAAATCCAGGCGGACTTTCAATAAGTAAGTCACTCTGTTTAAAAATCTGGGGAAACCAAGTCGCTAATCAATGTATAGAAGTAAGATATGTAAGTAAATAACTATAATTTAAACAGATTTGACGAACGTGACATCACGCGATTTTAATGATTCTATGTATCTGTGAAGATAACGTTAAGTGCCATAAGAATAATGTAAAAGTTTTGAGCTGTTATGAAAAAAAAGATATCTGCTAATGAAAGATATCAAGCGCCCAACTAGTCTAAATGTTATAATTTATAAGCGCACTATATCGTGTACTGCGATATAAAATTAGTATAAGATCATTTGCGCGGTATATAATTGCTTGTACTGTTGCATCAATGTGTTTGAACGAAAGGATGAGAATGGCAAATGCGTTATTAAAATAGATGCCGGCAAGAGAGCTGCAAAAGAGTAACACGTATAAAAGTACAATTTTTGGATATTAACATTTTTTCAATATTACTTTTTTAATATTATGCAAATCAACACCACTTATAATTTTTAACGTACCGTCGTCCTCCTTTCGTTAAATGCGTGTAGCAAGGACTGTTTTTCTGTCGAATTTAATAGACTGAAACAGCGCAGAGATAGTTTGTTTGTCGAAACATCGAAGAACAATAGTATTAAACAAACTTCACGCTTTAAAATTGTTAAGATTCTTGCTATATTTGATGTATGATATCATGATGTAATGACCAGTCTATCGATGACGAACTACAATGAAACATTATATGTAAAGCTACTCTAGCATCAACTTTCATCCGCCAAGAATCGCATTTACTCACGAGATTAAAAATATTCTTTAATATAATTGAGGAGGTCCAAAGCAGAAGTTCGACTTGTAATATTAATTAATATTAGTTAACCAAATCTTTATATAGTTATGGGAAAACACGATTCAAAGCTTTAAAAAAAATCGGAAACAAATTCATCGAGTTTATTGCAACATAATCCTATTTTAGAATGCATTGTATAATTTATAACTTTATTATTTATACATATATAATATAGACTTCTCTCTCTCTTTCTCTCTTTCTCTAAAAACTTGATGTCACTGTTGATACTAAAATGAGATATTTTTTTAGACATTTTTATTTATTTATTATTATTATATATATATAAATATAATTAGACAAAGAAAATTTTTCCTATGAAATAAGTTTTCACAGAATTGTATCTATGTTTCTTTTCCTCTTAATTGCGAATGGATTCTCCAAACCGCGTGTAAAGGATATTTTTAAGCGTGACAGCCTTGGCGATGAATGGTCGATCTTTGTACGTGTGTATGTGTACAGTAATTAACATTAATCAAATCGATACAGCGAAGAGTTTTATATTTTCCACAGGGACGTGTGTATACGTATCTTGACGCGCGAGTTAATTTGAACTTGAGTAATAGCGAGTACAAACTGTAACAATCCGTACGACTAGATCACGATGTTGCAAACGACTTTAAATGTTTAAATGCGTACTAGTCAAACTCCTCCTAGCATGGCGCTATTTAAAGCAAGTATGAATAATCAAATAAATGCTGAACAATCGTTTCTGCATCTTTGTCCCGAATCTACCTAAATTCGAACTTCTCGTCTCTCGTTCCTGGATAGATTCAGGATCTGATTTTAAATTCTCTAGGAAAGGATTTCTGATGACAAGACCCAAAATATTCTTGATATTTAAACTTATCACAGCCTCATGCAATAATAAAAGTAAAACATTAAATGAATAATTCTTGTTCCGCTTGCTTAAATTAAATTAGTTTAAATTTAAGAATTTTCCATTTGAAATTGAAATAATGGATGATTATGCTATTTTATGATAGATCAAAGTTAGCAGTGGATCCAGAAATCTTTTCTGTGGCGCAGTTACACGCATATAATTATTAATTGCGAAAATTTAACAATGACTCACGCAGAGTTGCGCGAACAATGGGGATGCCCGATCAAGCACGCTGCTCCAAATATTCAACGATCGCGTTTATAATTAATTAAGCTGAAATTCATTTACGTGCGCAATTTATTACGCGGTAACTATCGCATCTCATGTTATCTGTGACGACGCAATCAAACAGACCAGGAAGGGAGGGGAGGGTGAGGATTTGCGTTATGGTTATTCATGTTTCGTATCGTGTTTGCATGCTCCGCTTGCCGGTCACCACCTAATTATGCCGTACGCTGAAAAGCTGATGTCGCGGAGATTGGGAGAGGACATCTAAAATGACATACTCGGTTTGTTACAATAATACACACGAATTAAAGCCAACGGCACACGATACTATGTTTCCTACTGGATTCGTATGGATGCAAGCGGACTCGTAAGCGATAAGCAATCGCTTACGAGAGCCAATCAGAATGCAGAGTTTTAGATCAGATGACTTAAGGCTGAATCCTGATTGGCTCTCGTAAGCAATCCATTAGGAAAAATACAATAGTATCGTGTGCCGCTGGCTTTCAAAGCACGCTAATTAAGTATATAATCCGTATGAATGATCATATAAATTTTCGCCGCAAAGCAAACGAGAACGCGAAACGGATGTCA